ATCTCAGGTCAAAGTCTCACAGCCCTCTATCATAATCCAGAGTTTGAGAAGATTGGAGAAACTTAATTTTTCGCCCGAAAATGAAAAAAACGAAAGGGGTAAACTGTCGTTTTTTTCGGGTCGAAATTTTGAATTCGATATCTCAGCTCTGGAAGGGTCTAGAGCCTCCATTTTTGCACTCAGGTCAAAGTCTCACAGCCTCTATCATAATCCAGAGTTTTGAGAAGATTGGAGAAACTTAATTTTTCGCCAAAAACGAAAAAAAACGAAAGGGGTAACACTGTCGTTTTTTTTTCGGGTCGAAATTTTGAATTTCGATATCTCAGCTCTGGAAGGGTCTAGAGCTCCATTTTTTGCACTCAGGTCAAAGTCTCACAGCCCTCTATCATAATCCAGAGTTTTGAGAAGATTGGAGAAACTTAATTTTTCGCAAAAAAAAAAAAAACGAAAGGGGTAACACTGTCGTTTTTTTTTCGGTCGAAATTTTGAATTTCGATATCTCAGCTCTGGAAGGGTCTAGAGCCTCCATTTTTGCACTCAGGTCAAAGTCTCATGCCCTCTATCAGAATCCAGAGTTTTGAGAAGATTGGAGAAACTTAATTTTTCGCCCGAAAATGAAAAAAAACGAAAGGGGTAACACTGTCGTTTTTTTTTCGGGTCGAAATTTTTGAATTTTGATATCTCAGCTCTGGAAGGGTCTAGAGCTCCTCCAGGTAAAGTCTCAACAGCCCTCTATCATAATCCAGAGTTTTGAGAAGATTGGAGAAACTTAATTTTTCGCCCGAAAATGAAAAAAAAACGAAAGGGGTAACACTGTCGTTTTTTTTCGGGTCGAAATTTTGAATTTCGATATCTCAGCTCTGGAAGGGTCTAGAGCCTCCATTTTTGCACTCAGGTCAAAGTCTCATCACGCCTCTATCATAATCCAGAGTTTTGAGAAGATTGGAGAAACTTAATTTTTCGCCCAAAAACGAAAAAAAAACGAAAGGGGTAACACTGTCGTTTTTTTTTTCGGGTCGAAATTTTGAATTTCGATATCTCAGCTCTG